GTTTTTTTTTTTTTTTTTTTGTCTTCTTCCGTGTCCGGCCACGGCATCGCAACCCTCGGTGTTGCTCCCGCCCCTCGCTCAGCCAGTGAGCGGCTGGTCTGTATGTGGGATCCGAACCCTCGGCGGGAGCTCCACCGCACTTCCAAAGCGGCGCACTATAGCAGTGCGCCACCGGGCCGGCCTGTAAATGGTTTTTTAAAACACAAACCCAAAGCCTTTGTAAGGGTTTCTTAAAAGGGCATCCAAGCTCCCCACAATGCAGAGCAGGCACAAGCCTCAGCAGTCTCAGACAAGGACTCCACATCTTTCCAGAACTTTTTTCAGTGTTTAACAACCCTGAGAGTGAGAGTCATATTTAACTTCAAGGTCTCTGACTTCTAAATGAGTTTAAGTTATTAAGCTCATTCCTCATCCCTGTGTGATTTAAGAAAACAAGAAAAAAACAAGGTATAGTAAGTGCTCCAAAGTATTCCAGTTTTTGCTGATGTTGGTTGAGTGTGAATTGGATCAAAGGTAACTAGGAATTTAAGATAACGCTGAAAGGCAAAATTATCATAAACCCTTGTAGAGAGCCCGAAATGTATGCTCTTCACTATCTCATAAAAGAAAAATTTTCATGTTGATTAACATTTTTTCTAGGATCTTCCTAATTTCCAAAAGAAAACGCATCCATATAAAGCTTATGATTTAAAACAGATTTCCTGAACCCAAAACCGAGGGAGAGCTTGAACAAAGATGACGGAGCAAGATACACCACCACGGGAAAGGTGGGAACAATGTAGCTAACAGTTGATAGCATATGTACAGACCAGAGATCTGTGAAAGACTTGTCTATTTAAAGTTATTAACTTCAACCACCATTATACTGAAGGCTCATGCAGCATCCTAAATCTTGCCTTTCTTTCTAAAGATAAAATAGAGTGCAATCAGATGCCAAGAGACAGATCACTTGTTTAATTTTTTAAATTCCTTTGTTTTTCTCCCATGAGTTCATCCTTTTCCCTGACGATCCACACAGCAGTGAGACCCAAAACACAGACAGCAGACAAGAAAAGCAGAGAGTGGAGTCAGAAGGCCTGAGCTCCAGATCCTATTCCTATCTGCTAGAAAGGAAACCTTAAAAATCTCCATCTCACCTCCTCGTGTCTTAGACTCCACATGTGAAAAGTGGGGAGACTTGCTTGTTGCCTTCATGAGACTTTTATGAGAATCAAACAAGGAGAGTAATATTAAGTACTCCAAAAACTTCAAAATACTATAAAAATATTGGGTACTATTACCACAATTAATATATTCGTAGGCAAAAAGATGGCAAAGACACAGGAATCTTAGATTCACTATTCATATGAACTGAGGCAGACAGAAGAGTGCACAGACGTAGATATTTTTCATTTTAAGTCCCAGAAAGAGAAATACTCCATGTCCTCACTCATACGTGGGAAAGAAAGAAAAGAAAAAACAATCACAATAATACACTGAACTTTCAGAAGGAGAGAACAGAACTGTGGTTATTAGAGGTGGAAAAGGGGGAGAGAGCCGGGCGTTAGCAAGAAATTGGTTAATGGACATAAAGAATGATTACGTTTTGTAATGATGAATATGCTAATTATCTTGATTTGATCATCACATATGGTACACGAGTATTGACAGTCAACTCTGTACCCCACAAATATGTATAATCAATGATGTCCCAATTAAAAAAAAGAAAATTAAATGTGAAGGGATGAAGGGAAATAAAGTAACCTGTCTACACCCTGTTAAAATTTCTATTCACAATATCAGGAGTTATTCTGTCTCTGAATTTACACTCTATTCACATTTTATCAATTTATTAATTTAAAACTGCATGAATAATCCCAATTCCATCACTCATAAGCCAGAACCTGTAAACGGGGACAATAATAGTACCCATAGAGTAGGAATGACATGAAGATTGCATCAATATATGCAAAGCACTCCAGACCATGCATGTCATGTGCATGTTATGTGCTATGTGAATGTTTGTGCTATGCATAGTGGTGGAGAATCAGCCAGATGTGGATTCAAACACTGCTCCAAACCTATTAGATATGTGATTTGGGGTGCAGGTTCTCTCATCTATGTATAATGAGGAAAATAATATCTACCTCACAAGGTTGTTATGAGGATTAAAAAAATAATATATTCATGAAGACTGAAAAGATAACTGCAGATCATTTAAGCGTTCAATAAATGGTGGTATTGGTTGTTTTACTTAGAGTACATTATGTCCAATGGTAGTAGTACTGGTAAATTATGGAGTAGTATCACAGATTCCTTAACTTTCAGTGGTTTTCTTAGATCAAATGAAGTTCTGAAGAGATAGCCACACAAATTTGGCAGTAGCAAAATGTATGTGACTTTAAAATAGCAAGTATAGGTTCTGGTCCTAAACGATAATCCCAAATTTAATTCTGTTACAGAATTACCACTGCCAAAATATTTTAAGTCTCGGGCTGGCCTGGTGGTGCACTGCTACAGTGCGCCGCTTGGGAGCGCGGTGGCACTCCCGCCGAGGGTTCGGATCCCACATACAGACCGGTTCCCGCTCACTGGCTGAGCGAGGTGCAGGAGCAACACCGAGGGTTGCGATCCCGTTGCCGGTCCCGGTCCGGTACGGGCGCGACACTGAGGGTTGCGATCCGTTGCCGGACACGAAAAAAGACAAAAAAAAAAATTTAAGTCTCTAGAAATACATTTGTCCTTGAGGAGCATACAGTTTATTGCTTTACATTCATTTCTACAAAGCTTCCATTGTCTAATCAATCCAGCATGCAATGTTATTCCACTAGAACAAAGCCATGCATTTTTAAAATGTTTATACAGGCTGGCTGTTTAGCTCAGTTGGTTAGGGCGCAGTTTTATAACACCAAGGTCAAGGGTTCAGATCCCCGTACTAGCCAGCTGCCCAAAAAATAAAGCATTTATATAATTTCCCAATCTCAATCAACACCATTTCTTGCAAATTTGAATGAAAAATTAGTAGCTCCTTAATGAGCTTTAAAAAGTCAAGATTTTTTCTTTTTTCATTTCCCCCAGTTCATTTTCATTTTTCATTTCCACAAAAGAGAGGACAGAAAGAAAAATCAAAGTTTTTTTTGTTTGTTTGTTTTGTTTTGTTTTAAAGGAGGGGGCATGGGGGAAGGACCAAAGAAGAGTAAAAACAGGAACATCTCTTGCATTTTTCTGGGCCACCAGCTTAGAGGAATACACACACCTAGGCTTCTATTTGATTTCACTCTGTCTTCATGGCAACACTTCATGGCCACAGACAAATATGCTACCATTTCCTTAAGGGGCTTGGTTTTCAGTTCCCTGTACTTAATCTTCCATCGCTTTTTTATGACGTCAAGACAGTTAATCACAGCTTGCCAGAGATCAAAGGAATCTACTCTGTCTTCATGGCAACACTTCATGGCCACAGACAAATATGCTACCATTTCCTTAAGGGGCTTGGTTTTCAGTTCCCTGTACTTAATCCTCCATCGCTTTTTTATGACGTCAAGACAGTTAATCACAGCTTGCCAGAGATCAAAGGAATCTTAGAAACCATATTCTTATACCCGTTTCCTTTTATACACTCTTCCAAGCTGACAGGTTGTCTGAGCATTGAGAAGGCTGATGACTTCTAGAAGATCACAAAATGACTCTGGATCAAAGCTAGATAGAGAACTCAGGCCTTTTCCCTCCCCAGGCAGGGTGGTGTCCCCATAGTTGCTATATTTTGATATCATATTTCTTACCTTGATGTTTCAAGTTGGTGCTATTTATTCCCATTGCCAAGCAAACCAATCCAGTGCTTGACTTTTATTTCATAACCAAAATATTACATCTTAGAAATCAAATAAACTGTCAGTCTCCAACAGCCTTCTGATTAGATACTAGTACCTGAACTATAAGAGTAAGAGCAAACTTCTAAATATCATTAGGTTTTGCCTTCTTAATGTGCTTATTTTCATAATGTAATTATTTTAATTACCTGCAAGAGGTTTAACTTTATGGCCAATCACGTCATCATAAATGACCATAACTTCTGAAAGGATGACTTCTTGTACCTATTATACACATGTTTAGTGTACACACAAGTAAATATTAAAACAGTTTCCATGTGAAAAATATCACTGACAAATCCAACAAGTATCTGCTGAAATCCAAGCAATAGGAATGATTCAACAATCTCCAACACTTCAGTGATTCGTGTCTTCTCCAAATCACCTACCCAAGTGTCAAAATAGAGAAAAGGGCAACAGAACATGCTCAACTTCCAAAAGTTAGGTGCCTTCTAAGTATAGAAAAGACTGGAGGGAAAGAATACTGGTCCTCAGACACTGAGTGCCCACTGAACTATCTGAAGGAAGGATGGCAGTAACCCCACCCTCTGAGATAACCAGCAGGACAAACTACCTTCACATAAGATTCCCCTCATACTGCTTTAATTACAAAATAATTCTAATCTCATTTGGCAAATTGTTGCTGCTATTTGTTTTTTGCTGTCATTGTTGTTGTGTGTGTGCTGTCTTTGTTTCTTGCTAAGCCACCTACATGTGAAATTTTACAATACAATGCAGAAACGCAGACCACTTAAGTACATGCCCTACTTCAAGATTTGAAACAATCTGATAAAATGTTCTCCAGTAAAAGAAATACCAAAAACAAAATGTAATTACCTTTCCAAAGTCACGAACATCAAACAGGTCAAACGCCTCGAAGAGTTCACTTTTCCTCATTCCAAATGTCTCGCAACAGGCCGTGAGAAATGTCCTTATGTTCTTCAAACAGAGAAACTGAGGAATGGGAAATAGCCATTAGTATACAGTGAATTATTCTGAATGCTATCTATCCTCTGTCACTGCCAGACTGCTATAAAAGTGATGAGGAAGAATCAGTCGGCTTCTGAGGTTGCTTTTCAGTCACTCATCCAGCAGTATTGATTAAGCTCCCACTCTCTCAGGCACAAGTGATGCAGCTATGTACAAGGCAGGCAACATTTCTACCCTCATGAAACTTATATTCTAACAGGAGAAGACAGATAAGAAAAAATGTAGCAAAACACACACACACACAAGTAACTATTTTTGTTTTCATATGGTGCAAGGGAGAAAAACAAAGCCAGGAAGCGGGCTCAGGAGAGCTGGTGGGGATGAGACGGTCAGAGAAGGGCTAGCTGAGAAGAGGGCTGTGGAGCACAGGTTTGAGGTGGTGAAGGAGCGAGCCACGCACAACTTGCAGGATGGAGTATTCCAGCCTTTAGAAGCATCCCGTCCCAAGGCCCTGAAGTAGAAGTATCTGAGTATGTCTGAGAAAGGGGCCAATGGGCTGGAGCAGAGCGAGAGGTGGGGAGGAAGGTGGGAGGTGAGCTAGAGACGCAGTGGGGGTCAGATGATGAAGGGCTCATTGGACAGCTTCTACGTTGTCTGATATGGAAGTCATGGAAGCCTTAGGCCAGAGGAGGGATGTAATCCAATGTTTTAACAGGGATTTTTCAGGCTTCTGTGTTGAATATAGGTTTAGGGGCTGGAGCAACGGTGGCAGGAAAACCAGTTAGGAGGCTATTGCCATAATCCAGGTGACAGACAAGTTTGGGAAGACCAGGTGTTAAATTTTGACTGTGACTATTAGTCATCCAGTGGGACGTGGGGCAGGCAACCGGATATGTAAGTCTGGAGTCCAGGAGATAGACTGTACTAATAACATAAATTTGGGAGTCTTTAAAGTACAGAAAACATTTACCCATGACACTGGCTGAGATGACTTTGGGAGAGAGCAGAGGAAAGGAGAGGAGAGCACCTGGCATCAGGAAAACTTAGGAGATCAGGAAAAGAGGAGGAGCCCACAAAGGAGTCTGAGAAAGAGTGACTAGTGAGAAAGGAGAAAAACCAGGAGAATGGGTTTCCCTGAAGCCAAGTAAAGAAAGTGTTTCTATGGAGGGAGTGACAAACTATGTCAGATGCTGCAGCTGGTCAGGTAAGATTTCGACCAAGCACTGTCCATGGAACCTGGCAGTGTGAAGGTCATGGGGATCTTGACAAAAGCAGGTTCTGTGGGGAGGACTGGGGTGAAAGCCTGCTTAGTTAGAGTAGATTCCAGAGACAATGGAGGAGAGGAAATGAAGACAGAATATAGATGGGTTCTGCTGCAAAAGGGAACAGAGAAATATAGGTCAAGGAAGGGCTTTAAAAGACAATGGAAGATGTTACGACCTGTTTCTATTTTGATGAAAATGATTTAGTGAAGAGGGGAAAGTTGGTCACACAGGAGAGAGGGATGGTCACAAATGAAGTCCTTGAGTAGGCAAAGGGGAGGAGAACCAGTCTTTAAGCGCAGAAGCTGACCTTGGAGAGGAGCGTGGAATAGGAGGGATAGGAGACAAGGCAGATGCTACCGACAACTTAAATAGTAAAAAGTCAGAATTTACTTTCAGTACCTAAAACGACTCAGATCCACCTAAGCAAAATACACATATACCCTGAAAGTGAATTAGTTCTTTTTGGAAATATTAGCTGTCATGGCACACTTTAAAAAAATCATATACATATGTCAAAACTTTACATAAACATGATTTACTATATGTCCATTATAGCAAAATAAAGATTTTTTTTTAATGAAAAAAAGTGTTAACCTTCATAAGTGAGCA